AGGTTAGGCACGTCAGCGTAAATGACGGTTCCGTATAGGATGCAGGTTCGAATCCTGTCAAAGGACGAATATTTTCTATGTAAATTTCTTACTTGTATCTATAAAAAAAGAACGTTAAACATAAAAATATCTTTAATAAATATATATATATATATATATATATATATATTCGATTTATTTCTTAACAGTAACTAAAGTACAGTATTTTTCGCATTTCGTTTCCCTTGTTTGATTTTAACATGGGCGTTTTTACTGCAATGATTATATTGTTTATCTCTGGTAAAATAGTAAAACATAATCTAATTATTACAGTTTTTTTTAATTTTTTTGGAAAAGAGGTTATTTTTCAAACACGAACTGCATTTGAAATCTTTTAAATTACCCACTGTATTCCAATATACCGGGTGTAAGCGCAAAATTGATCAAACTATCCATGCGACAACATGTTTAATATCAGAAAAAAAAAAAAAAAAAAAAAAAACCTAAACTAATCGAGTTTCTTTTTTCCAGGTTTTCAAATATGATGTTTAGCCATCCTGACACAATTTCTTTTTTGAGTTATTCAGCTAGAAAGAAAATAGTTTAAAATCATTTTGTGTCAGCCCCTCAATGTCTTTCCAAATGAGCAATGGTAAGATGAAAAAGGTCTTCAGAATGGTATGAACATTCATACTCTGGTTTCCATCTTCAAAGTCCATTCAAGAACCATCACGAGAACTGTGAATAAGTTTAAAAAAAGAGAAAATAGTAGAGAAGAAAATGGATCAGGAGGTCACAACAGGAAGAGGGATCATCATTTCAGCTTAGAGCAAAATCCATTCTTATTGTTCAAAGTAGACTACAACAATGTTATAAAAACCTCGGAGAATTCCGGTAAGATATCTTTAAACATTTCTAAGATACAATGGTTCAAAGCTTAATCTGATAATTGGACAATTTTGCTGTTACACCCGGTATTATGGATCATTGATTCTTCCCTGCGCTTAATCCGCCTATTAGTGTGAAATTAAGACACATTATCGAAATTGTAACTTAGCCTGCTGACCGCTTAGCTTATAGCATTGGACATTGCATCAATAAATAAATATTTATACTGAATCCAGCAATTAGGACGCTTCCTGTTTCAGTGGTGGTGTGCAATAAGATACTGCTCCTTTGTAGTTTAAACGGAAGTTGGAAATCCGACTCTAAACTGACCTTAGTCGACCTCGATTGGCTGCAGAGGTTACCGACATCAATTCAACTTTAATTGCCCTCGAACACTAACCTAATTTTCAATTCCTAAGATGCACCTGCTTGGCCAACTATAAGACGCTTACAGGTCAGTTAATATTCGCCATCTTTATAATAGAACACAGACACACGCACAAAGACACACAGACACACACACACACACACACATATATATATATATATATATATATATATATATATATATATATATATATATATATATATATATATATATATATATATATATGTCACGGTGAAGTAATAGATAGCGGCTTGGATTGGAGACTCGGAATGCCGAGTTCGAATTCCAGTCGGATCCTTTACATTAAATTACGTGTTAATACCTTGGAAAAGGTATAAATCCTCTGCTTCTGTCCCGCCCCCCAGCTATGGATAAATACCAGGACAGACTGGGTTCTATAGCCTTGGATGGCAACTGGTCTAGGAGAAGGACAATTTTGAATTCAAAACCTGCAGAGGGTCGTTTGGGGAACTTCTGTATTCGGCTCTTCAAAAAGTGGGGTTGGTTCTGTACTAACCCTTCACCACTATAATCAAATTATATGTGCAGGATGTCTGGCTGTCAGTGCCTAGGAACTGAGTTGTCTGAACCTCATAAAAGGCTTCCCGATAGGCACGTGTCAACGACAGGAGAGTCCACTATATATATATATATATATATATATATATATATATATATATATATATATATATATAATATATATATATATATATATATATGCAGCCCATAGATATATATACATATGCTGCATATATATATATATATATATATATATATATATATATATATATATATATATATATATATAGTAGTATATTTTATTCAAGCATGTTTGGTTAAATAAGTTAGACGTATTATGTCTATTTATCTTAGATTTAATCTTTTCAACTCAACGAATTAATTTTTGGTGGTTGTAGAAAATTGATTAAGAATAATTCCAAAATTTCCCTTCAAATAATTTTTATTTAAGTCCTTTATCATATGATCATATTTAGATGTGATCATATGTAGATATGATCATATCATATGATCATATCATATGAACACATGTAGATATGATCATATTTACATATGAACATATACGATCACATGTAGATATGATCATATATGATCATATCATATACGATCATGTGTAGATATGATCATATATGATTATATAATATGATCATATCATATGTTCATATCATACGATCATATGTAGATATGATCTTATATGATTATATCATATACGATCACGTGTAGATATGATCATATATGATCATATCATATACGATCATATGTAGATATGATCATATATGATCATATCATATACGATCATGTGTAGATATGATCATATATGATCGTATCATATACGATCATGTGTAGATATGATTATATATGATCATATAATATGATCATATCATATGATCGTATGTAGATATGATCATACGTAGGTGTGATCATATCAAATGGTCATATAATGTGATCATTTCATAGAATCATATGTAGATATGATCATATGTAGATATGAATATATATCATCATATCATATGATCGTATTATATGGTCATATCATATCATGTATATGATCATATATACATATGATCATATACATAGTTTTAACATTTAAAGTGATAAAATATGTTGGATTAATAAATAAAAGCCATTACTTCTTTAGAAATATAAATAAATGAAATCAAATATTTTCTTTTACTGACAGACATACAATGAATATTTCAAGAAACGATTCAGCTACATTAATATTCTGTTTGATATTGTTTCAAGTATTCATAACTAGTATATCAGATTTATAACAAAGGTATTTTGAAAGAAAGCAAATATCGAATTTTTAGAGGTAAACCGTAAAAGGTGTTATTTTAGTTCTTAATGAAGAGTGATGTAAGATAAAATGGTTACTGTTGATATCCTATTTTAGCACCTTATTTATCACACAGTGCGATATTTTTGAAAATGATAAATGGATATCAGGTTGTCATTTACATCTACATCGTATGAATAGAACTTAATGTCAATAAGGAGCTTTTGTTCCATAAAAAATTGATCTACAGAGATGTGCTTGGCTCACGCTAAATGATACAGAAGTTGTACTCAGTGTCACATAAGAGCCACAGAGGAAACATGTGCATCATAGTGTTGACCTGGAAGGTATCCTCATAAACAGCAGGCGCAGATTCGCTCTTAAAAGAATGTCAGTTGCTGTCCCCGATATGAAAATAGGTAGTCGACCAGCGGCAGGGTTAGGGTGTAAACACAGCTGTTGGTTTTCCGCCCCACGATTACAATCACAGACGGTGAGATTTTTAATTACGGCCCCCGGACGATGATTACAGGCGACACGAGATTTGAAAGAATCTATCTCATTTTCGATGACTTTCATAGCAAAAAAAGCGAATTTTTTTTTAACGCCCGACGGCACGTAAGTACCGCAGTTGAAGATGCTGAAGTTTGCTTTGAACTATTCCCATTTAATTTCATTTCTCATTTTTCCTTCTTGTAAAATATCCTATCAATATATTTGTTAATATTTATTTGTTTAAATTATTATAGTTTAACTGGATTTATATGAGTTCGCCAAAACTGTTTGCGAATCAAATGTATCATGAGTATTAAAATATCATTAAAAGTGTTGATACCCACAACATATGTAACAAACTGATGATAGAAACGCAACGAAACTGAAGTGGGGGAAGAGAGTTATTAACATTCTCGTAAGAAAAAGATCCACGTTCGAAGAAAGACACTAAACCCGCACACTCTTACGCCGATATTAATTGACGAATTACGAAGGTGAATAAACAGTAATGTATGTTTAAGAGTTTTATCCTTGTGTTCTTAATCTTTATAACGATAACTTTATGAAGGGGAAAATATATGGTTTGCTGCTTCTCATATGATATAAGCTTCAGTATCGATAGTATTTTATGGAATACGTCTATCAGATTAGACTAGATTAGTATGAGATTATTTATCCATACGACTAATTAAAATCGAAGTACAAGTACAAATCAAGTGCAACAGTCCTTGAATATTGATGTCAATATTGTTGTGAAGAAGTAGTCATTGAGAATCAGCGACGAACTTCGCAATTTCATGTCTTTAACTATAATAACTTAAAGAAAATGAGAAGCCATAGATTCTAATTTAAAGTAAATGCTACAAATTGATTTGGATTAAAGAAGTCTTAGTATGAAGCAAACATAATCAGACCGTCTAACAGGCATAACTCATATTTAGTTCAATGACGTAAATTTCAAAACAAATTTATATCAATGCTAGAAAATTACAACTGACTATATGATCTAAAAACCTGATACAGTCGTTGGATATAATGTATAACTATTATAGCAATGACAATAATTATTTGTGCGACTTTTTTTTCATAAAAATTGTATATATATATATATAAACATATATTCCTCCTTGAGTAATGACATTTCGATTTCTAGGCCGGTTGACATTAATTTTTACTGCGTAAAATAACAAGGATGTCAACACAGATCGTCTAAGCACTTATTAAAAATAACTTTTATAATAATGAGAAATATTATCGGAGTATAAATTCCATTTTAAAAACGATACACTACATCCGACAGCAAGGCGATCGGGAGATTGGAGGTTCTGGGAAGTGTGGAGCCACCCTTTCATTGCTGTTGTTCCCAGGTGCCCCCCTGACCTGGGATAGTAGCATGTTTTATTCCTCATAGAATGGAATGTGTCCGACTGGACTTATTTAAGTACAGATTACGTATAATGGGAGATAATTCATACCACATTTTCTCCCGCTGCTTATTTGTAGGGGACAAAGTTATTCCATCGACCCCGTCTCCTGCGGGTTGTTTGTGGTAGTTCGCAGTCGAGAGCTGCCTCTGACATTGACTCGTCTGAGCTTGTTGTCCGTCAAGTTTGACTTGCCTACTCAGCTTTGAAGTATAAACATTTGACTTGATTTATTTATGTATTCTTCGATTTTAAGCTACGGTTTGTCTGAATTTGAAATATCAGAGTTTGTTTCAAAATGGATTCGTATTTAGGTGCCAATTCCTCGTCAGAACTAAAGTCATGTTGGTCCATTTCTTTTGGTAGCGGGGTCAAATCCTTTAACGACACAGTATCTCGCCTCTCGTCTAAGTAACGGAGGAACTCCTACTGCGGGTTTGCCTTAATTTGCATTAATTTGACTTCTTTTACTACTGGGTCATTCGAAAGGGGACTGTGATTCTAGAATGCCGACATAGGAAGTCATGGCTTAGTAAATCGCTGAAACAAAGTTTCTTCATTAATGATTGTTTCGTGCGAATGTAAGGCTTATTTTTAGCAGAAGATTGGCCAGCCAGTACCCAATTACCTGAGCGCACAAAAAAATAAAATAAATAAATAAATAAAAATAAGAAAACGTACAGTATAGTCATTTTGTCGAAGCAAAGAAAGGTTCGCCACTTATTAGCTCTCATTACGTTTGAATCTATGTAGCTCGCGGAATAAGAACAGTTGAAATTAATGCATGCAAAATTTCATCACTCCTTCCTCGTCAGTCTAAGAACTTTTCATTTCAAATTATACACAAATACAACTTTCTTATACACAGGCACTCGCGTGCGCGCGCGCACACACACACACACACACACACACACACAATCTAAGCGGTAATGTCACTAAGATGCAAGATGTTACTGGGATTAAAGGAGAATAAAGTAACCGGTAACGAACTCAATTCAAAAAAAAAAAAAAAAAAAAAATGAAAGGATAAAACCCTGCTTTTGTTTAGCAGCTAGATATGAAAATAAATGGTAACATCCAGGTGGGCTTAACACTTTGAGACCTGAACGTGGTTTTACCGGTGGTAGAGAAAAATGACGTAATGCCCAGCCATGGATCAAACAGTGGTAGAGAAAAATGACTAAATGCTCAGCCAACGGTTGAACGGTGAGTAAGCACTAGTAACTATTTTATATGGAATATTACATAAGTGGAATATTACATATGTGGAATATTACATAAGTGGAATATTACATACGAATTATTTACAAACTTTGACTCAGGAGCTCAGGAAGAAAGGTTAAAATTGTTGAGAAAAGCAGGACTGAAACGATTAATATATATATATATATATATATATATATATATATATATATATATATATATATGTAGGCGGTACTTAGTGGAAGGTGCTCAATATGTGTGATAGAACTAACATATTCAGTTGTATGGATATTAATTTTTAACCCTGGGTTTTACACTTTTGCTATCATCAGACATATTATATATATATATATATATATATATATATATAGTTTGAAATTTGCTATATTAAAGGGTGGAGGTGCTTTCTGTCATTGTAGATATAAGTTTCTACGAAGTGTTGATATCTACCTACAGGCTATTCATATATATATATATATATATATATATATATATATAAACATATATATATATACTCGACTCTCACGTCGAATTCGACGTATGAGGGTCAAGCGGATCAGTTCCCAGGAAACCGACAACCCGACAATAGCACATGAGATTTAATTAATATTTCCATTATTTTTAGCCATTTTTGCATTGGGTTGTGATTTTACACACATTATGTCCAGAAAAGAAAATACTTGTTCGAATGCAAGGGATATTGAATAAAAATCTCAATCATTGTACCTTGTCAGTCTCTTTCTCTTCTTATTTTTTTTATAAATAAAACCTATATAAAATGTTGACAAGCCGTAGAAATCGAATTAGTCAATCAATTATGTACACTTCAGTCCCTTACCCTGACCATATTATCATCATTACCATCATACTCACAAGTCCCCCCATCAACCTGGTATGGTTGTCGGGTTTCTTTTGAACTAAGCCCCTGACCAGCTTTACTCTCCATGTTTCGGGTGGTTTCAATTGTCTTGATCTCTGTAAATTATATTTCAGTAACAATCAGTGGCAATGACCGATCCGATATAAAAGTCATGCATGCTCTTGGGCAAATAGACATGGCGGAGTCTATCCATCTCTAGGTCAAACTCTCCTGGCTTGAAACTAGCAGCTAAAACCACCAACATCGCTTAACAGGAGATGTTTTCCGAATGAAAGACGAAAGAATCCGAAACTAAATCCAATCTGCTAACTTCAGAAGGAAAAAGACATACAATCAGTCTAAAAAATAAATTGAAATGTTATTATATAAAGTTATTGTTTTTGATGCCATGACATTTCGGGATGTGAGTGATCATAGCGTTCTAAAAATTTTCTTTATCTTCTGTGAATTTTCATGTTTATTTTGATGTAAATCGTGATTTCCTGTTCCTTTCTGTACATATTTATATTCAGCAAATAATTTTCTAATAATTTCTCCTAGACTCTCAGGTACACGACAATAGAGTGCACATTATGCTCTGTAACCCGGATATAAGAGAGTTGTCGGGACCGGATAAGAAGTCTCTTATATCCGGGTTTCTCTTATATCCGGGTTTCTCTTATATCCGGGTTTGGTCTAATTTATATACATTAAAACAAGCTCTAATTTGGGACCAGAGACAATCTCTCTTATATCCTGGTTTCTCTTATATCCGGGTCTCTTATATCCGGGTTACACTGTACATAGTTTGTGGGGGAAAGAAATAAAGATAGATTCATATATTTCCCGAAAGCATTATTAAGTGACGATAACGGATTAAGCCGGAATTCGAACACTGATCGCCAATTCCACTTTCACCGTTGATAACCGTTACGCAATCCACCCTTCTAGAAAATTGACATTCAAGCGTCCAATTATAAAGGATCTGAATGTTTGACGCAAACCAGCACGGGGAGAAGAATTTGCTGTGTGAAATGGTGATATCTGAGACCAAGGGGACATCAAATGCGGAAGCCGTAACGAGAAGCATGCAATCAGCAACAAGAATGAATCAACAACATGAACATGCCCATATCTAGTGTATAGAATAGCGTGCCTTTCAAGAATTGAAACCATAATAATAATAATAAAAAAAAAAATTCTGGATTTTTCCTAGCCAATAAGAATTGCCGATCTACGATATGTATGTTTTATCAGAAAAGACCACCGATGTAAGATTATATACATATAAAATGCCAAAATATTTTCTATAAAATATACCTCAGTCAAAACAGGAAAAGAAGAAAGGTGGCTAAGGATGTGTCCCAAAGCTCTTGGGATAATGGATTGTAGGGACAGTTTTTGTTCTCCTTCATATTTATCAAACGGAAAAATGTAAGAACGCTGGGAAAAACTAAATAAAAAAATTAATACAATTTTCCTTGTCCGTCGTAGTTAACGAAAGATGTTTAAAAGAAAGCTTGCTGCATCAATATATATATATATATATATATATATATATATATATATATATATATAAAAGAAAAACGGACCAATTTAAGGTACCATTATAATAATTTATTTCACCAGAGTCCTTTTAAAAAAAAAAATAAAATTTTTTTTTTTTTTTTTTTGGAAGTGCTATCTAATGATCCGGCGTCCTTTAAAAAGACTCTGGTGAAATAAATTATTATAATGGTACCTTAAAGTGGTCTGTTTTTCTTTTAAATATTAGCTCTGGATTTACATTGAGCTCTCTCAGGATTTTATCCTCCTTGGGATTACCAAGTTCTTCATAACTTAAAATATATATATATATATATATATATATATATATATATATACTTTTTTTTAAAAATAGACATACAGTTTTGAAGGCTTTATAATACACCGTTTATACTCCCGTATCATGTGACATTTGAAGATCTAAGGTAATTTTTTAGGGCGTAACACCATACACGAGTTATAAAATTAGAATATGTAGGGCTGGCCCTGGTTACGCCGTTGTTCAAATTATATATCGATTTTCTGTAGTCAAAAATACAGATATATTTATAATAAACATGATTTTGATAAAACGTATGTTTTACTTAGCATTATCCAATAATAATGTATGTAATATTCACATATTAATATCGTATTATAAAATACAAAGATAGCGAATATATATCTTTTCCATTGTTTACGTTTAGAAGATGTTTAGATCATTCTCGTTCGGTTGTGTATGGCTGTACGCGTTTATGCAAAGAACCTAGTGCTACTAAGAATGCTTTTATCTGTAGAATAACGATACAATAAACAGCACTTACCGGCGTATAGGTCCCAGCTAGCGTCCAGCTGGCAGACAAAAATAAAGCAGGTTGTAACTTAATACAAACCCTGCAAACTAACTGATGAATCAAGCTGGTATTTATATAGAATCACAGCCCAAGCAATGGACTATCCCTCTTTAGCACAATGAGATGCTCCATGGCACCATAAATAGCTCTCATTCTCAAGGTTGAATTATTATTCACTTAGCTTGCTCCACAACTGAGTGTTTATCTCGACCACGTGATTTTTCTACATTATCATTCTCTTTTACATTTTTAACTTATTTTTGAAGATGGGATAAAGAGACAGAGGAAAAGAGGCATGTCTATTGCAATTTGGTCTCTCAAAAAAGGAACTCGTATAATACACGAGATACATGATTTTTTATAAGTGAAAATTTAGGGGTTGCACGTTATGCGAGATCGCGCATTATACACGTGTATACGGTATTTTGGTCTATATATGATACAGCCGGCATAAACATTTTAAGGCAGTTTCATTTGCTATGCCGTATTATGCAAAATTTTTGCTTAAATTTTTCATTGCTTTCAATCCAAGTAAGGCAGTAAATCCACTAAGACACAAGGGTTTACTAAGTGTGGAATAATTAGAAATGAGAAACTTTACTAAGGAGGGGGAGCAAAAGAAGAGTAATCATGGAGACAGTAGAAAACGATTGATATTTATTTAAATTTTTGAAAATTAAAGAGAACGAGAGAGCATGGAGCCAACAGGAATTTCCACAAGCGAGAAGTGCGAGAACAGAAACTGTTAGCATAGAACTTACGGTTACATATAGCCAACTCAACTGTAAATTAGACCTCGTTGCCAGTCTAATAGTGTACTTAAATTCATAGAGTCTAGGTACCATAGCGAAGGGCTCAGGTGAACATTTACCACGAAAGTATTTATAGAAAAAGTACAGAGAGGCAACTTACTGAAGCCGAGACACCAGATAAGGGCCAGAGGGATTTCATAAAGGACCTCTATATATCTAACAGGAGTATCAGGCTATAGATTCGGAGGAAAGAGAAATTCTCTAGCACAACACAGTAAACTGACTTTCCTAGGAGCTGACATAGCAATGGATTCAATGTAGTCTTTTCACTGCTGATTAGCCGAGAGCGTTAAAGAAAACCCCAATTGTATAATGATGAAGGAATTACAAACATTATGTTGTTCTATCTAATTACATAGAGATTTACACGAAATATATAAATAACTATATAAATACATAACTGTAATTATTACATAGTGTTGATGATTTCTTCTCTCAGTTTTTTTAGTCTGAAAATATAAGTATATATATATATATATATATATATATATATATATATATATATATATATATGCGTGTGTTCATATATGAAATGAGAACGAATAGAATCCAATTCGGACTTTCGCAACATTCAATATAAAAGAGGGCCCAATACAAAAGTAGAGCAATATTTTTTTTTATTTTTAAAATAAAATATATATATATATATATATATATATATATATATATATATATATATATATATATATATATATATATATATAAAGAGAGAGAGAGAAAGGATAGATAGATAGATAGATAGATAGATAGATAGATAGATAGATATACACACAGTTATGGAGAGAATTATTCACTCCCACTTCCATACGGAAACTTGATTTGTATTTTTCATATAATGAAATAATGAATTTGAAAGAATTAGCAATGATGCCCACAACAAAATTTTAATTTTAATGTCAAACAATAATACAAGAAAGCTGCAAAAATCATTTTTAACTTAGGACACAATTATTGGCCCTCTTGCCTTAATAATCACATGTATAAACTTTATTCTTGATTATTGCCGTTAATCATTTTTTTATAATTCCTTACACACATTGATAGGTATTTTGTCTCGTCCTTCCTTGACAATAGGTTCCAGTTCCTCTAAATTCGAAGGTTTTCTTTCTCTTACTTTTTTTTTCAAATATGCCCATAAATTTTCAATGGGGTTTGGGTCAGGATATTTTGCGAGGTACGCAAATATCTCTTTTTTTTCATTTAAGTATTTTATAACAATTTCTTGTCGTGTGTTTCGGGTTATTGCCTCGTTGGAACGCCCAGTGACGGCCCAAAGACAGTGTACTTTATTTACATTATTCGGACTATTGTCCTCATCTTTGTCACCATATTTATCATAACGTTTCGACCGTTGAACGCTCCGGCCTTCTTCAACTGGTTGGAATTTCGAACTGAACCCTTTATTTCGCTCACTGGGGTAGACTGTTCTAGAAAGAATGAAAGTTTCAGGACTGATGGAAATTATTATAATTTTTTTAAAGTAATTTTATATAAATGTAAAGGCCGTTAACAGTGCCGTACAAATCAAGTCACGTGATGTTTTTATTGTATCATGTTTCTTCCGGGCCTCCGTACATTTGATTTAACATTTTTTTTGACACATAGGGCAAAGAACAGTAAGTTTTTTCTCATTGGTGGTTCGTTGATTGTAAAAACCTTGTGCTATTTATAATCTGTACAGATACAGGTACCTAAAAAAACATTATATAAAGGATTGAACAGTACCACTAATTTTAGAATATTTAACAACTTTTAGTAACTTTATGTAAAAATAATAAAATAATTTATAAAATAAGAATTAATTCATTAAAAATTCATTTTTCATCGAAAAAGTTTTTTTGCCTTCAGACAATATTATGCATATTGATAAAAACAAATAAAAGCAACTAAAAGCATTTAAAATTAAATAGTATCTTTGTTTTATTGGGTTTTGTATGTTACAATTCAGAGGTGATTTTAGGTTTACGAGAGCGGATTTTTAAAAAAAAACAAAATATGATTTACTTTCCTCAAAGCCTTGTGTTTTTAACAAATATAATGACTTGCGTGCATCGACCATAAATTTTTAGAGTTTTTATAATTTTTTTATGGGGGTAATATATATAAAAAATATATATTTTTATAAGGACTTTTAAAAAATAACATATTTATAATAATTTCCATCATTCCTGAATAGTTTCTGAAAGTTTCATTAAAATCTGACAATTATTTCTATTTTTGCAAGATTTTCAAAATTAATGTGTGTCATAAGAAAAAAATGCACAAAAAATTTGCCATGTTATTTACTAGAGTTCCGGTGATGACGAGAAACAAGGTTTTTCAATCGAAAGTTAGGATGTTCTAATAAAGACAGAAATTTTTTTAAAAATAATCTAAAATTACTTTCTTCTTTCCTCTTAATAGTAACATAAACATTTTGACGATAATATTTTGTTTTCGTCAAGTTTGACGTCTTTTTCATCATACTATGCGCTTTTTTTTAGATATCTACTTAAAATTAAAGTCAGTTTCATTTTCGAAACTATTTATGCCTGTGAGTGATGATGACCTATATACGAGCTCACATGTAGAGTAGACCAAAGTGCCCCCCTTTCCACCCACTGTTCCACACGGTCCAAAATTTAACTGACTTTAATTTTAAGAGTCTATGGATCGATTCTATCACAGGGAAACTTTTAGTTACGGGAAAGATTATCTCGTAATTGCTGAAACCTCCTGAAGAGTGAACTGAAAAATTAAAAAAAGATAATCCTCGAAAATCTGCAGTCGACTTGCGAATATAACAGCACTCAGCTAAGTGACAGATTTTATTTGTATTATCCATATATATATATATATATATATATATATATATATATATATATATATATAACCATTCTGACGAAGGCTTACGTGAACCGAAAGCTTAGATCGAGGAACAGCAGCATAATAAAATAATATCCAAATATTGGACAGTTTTTGTCGTTATTTTATCCCGAAACTAAAGCCATTTTACGAAGCTTAGAACGGCTCATGATCAAACATAATAGACATTCGTTGTCTGTTATATTTAACAATATATGTCTGTATAATTATCTGCTGCCACAATACACTAAATATATATATGCATATATATATATATATATATATATATAGAGAGAGAGAGAGAGAGATAGGAGATAGATAGATAGATAGATAGATAGATAGATAGATAGATAGATAGATAGATAGATGTGCATGCATATATTTATAGACGCACACAAACACACACAATGACTCTCACACACACACATATTAAAAAACTTAAATATAAATTTATGCAACCCGCCTATGGATGAACTTATCATATTTCATGTTTTCATCATAATCCCCGACTCCATCATAATCCCCCATTCCCTCATAATCCCCGACTCCATCATAATCCCCGGTTCCATCATAATCCCCTATTCCCTCATAATCCCCGACTCCATCATAATCCCCCATTCCCTCACAATCCCCGATTCCCTCATAATCCCCGATTCCATAATAATTCTCGATTCCATCATAATCCCATCTTAATTCTAACTCCTGATTCCATCATAATCCCCAATTCCATCCTAATCCCGGATTCCATAATAATCCCTCATTCAATCATAACTGCCGATTCCATCCTAATCCCCGATTCCATCATAACCCCCGATTACATCATAATCCCCAATTCCATCATAATCCCCGATTCCATTATAATCCCTGATTCCATCATAATCCCCGATCCATCATAACCCGCGATTCCATAATAATCCCTCACTCAATCATAACTGCCGATTCCATCCTAATCCTCGATTCCATCATAACCCCCGATTCCATTATAATCCCTGATTCCATCCTAATCCCCGATTTCATCATAACCTCTGATTCCATAATAATCCCTCATTTAATCATAACTGCCGATTCCATCCTAATCTCCGATTTCCTCATAATACTCGATTCCATCCTAATCCCATCATCATAATTCTTGTTCAAATGAAAATAATTATATGTAAAACCGACACCCTAGTGGATCATATCCCGACCCCTACAATCTAAACCTCTTTCAAGTCTAGGCCTAATTGTTATCTTTTCTACCTATCTTCATAAAGTGCGCTTCTTACATGAAATTACTTCAAAGGCCAAACATTACCTTAAAAACTAAAGTCATATTCTTAAATAGCCTTGTCATTTCGTGACTTTCTTAAGGATGGCACGCATGGCGTCAATCTTGTTCAGAAATATCTAAACTATCGGCCACTCTACAATCGTTTTCTCAGATCAAATAAATAAATAAATAAAAATGGTTTCTAGTAAATGAAGTTGGTAGGTTTTATTGAGGACCTGCATTCTTTGAACTTTGTGAACTGACGCTACAGAATAACAAAGAACAGAAATGATTTTACTTGAGGACTTCCAACAACAGCAACAACGAAAATGGATATAGCATATTAAAAAAAGTTAAAATAATGGCATAATAACGATGTTGATGTCCAACACTGCTTCAAATAAAAATTTAGGAAAGAACCCCCTACACCTCAAAATTGGAAACACCGTTAACAGTAACTGAATTTTCCTAAAAAAAAAAAACGTTTTAATATAAAGATTTAATAAATTTCAAAGAAATTAGAACTAGACGCTCGGACAGTGAATATCGAATGTTTTCTGTCAGAGACGGCTAATATTAGCATTGCCGTTTCTATTTATTTAAGAATTAGTTGGGATACTGTGTTAAGCAGTGTTCAGCTTCGGTGATTCAATGTTGTAACATGCATTGCATTATATGCCATAAGAATAACATGTTTCAAGACAGGCATTGAACATTATGGCTGCTTGTTGATAGCAAGTTTAGCTCGACGATAATTTATGGCCTCCAACTAGCAGCAGATTAATTTCCGATTACTAGCCGGAAAATCGTTGCTACTGTTTCTCGCACTTTTATGGCTGTTGTTGTACGTTGACTATCAGCGAAGATCAGTTTAGGAAATGCATTTCAGATTGATGTTTAATCTGTTCCATATGTACAGTAGATCCATCACTTCCGGCATAAATCAGAATAGGTAATAAGTTAATTCCAATTTTATTAATAAAACATGAAATAGCGACACGAAAAGGTAATCTGGAGAAATTAGTCCATAATCTATATTTGCGAACATAGAATTGCGCCCATCTCTCTGTCTTCCACCGGAAAAATCAGTCCCCACGTTGCGTTTCGCTTTTCGTTCGCGCTGCTGTGTACACAGACTGGAAAAAGACTTGCGATACGTTCACAAGAAACTAAAGATGAAATCAACAGACGGAAATGCAGACACGAATACGGTTCACAATAAATTTCACTGAGGTTACCTAATATTTTCCCTGGTAGAAATACATTGGTCCCTTCGACATCTTCAGACGAGCGACTCCTACTGGGTGGACGAAGGACTCTTCTAGTTATTTACTGACCGCCTCATGATGGCAGGATGCGTTGCAAAGTAGCTTAATGAAGGGAGCCCGAATGCGTGGACCCGCGGGCCAGGTTAAAAAATAACCTAGGCCCCACAAACGTCTGTTGCGCTGGCATTGTTATTACTACCGATCCCCACCCAAAGCTCTAGTGCAGTGAGGGAGGTACTGTCGCGGACAGTTGTACTCCGCGACCGAGCACGTGTCAATTTTTAGTTTCTCTTTGTCCGAAGACAAAGACATAACCGGGCTGTGCGAAGATATACATAATAAACTGAGGGATGATTAATGACGCCTCGCAAGTTAGTTTCGCAAAGTTCTAGCGATTTAATAAGCGTAGCTTGGATGTGGTACAAGGCCAAAAGTATGAAGCACCCAGTGAGGCATGACTCCTTTCTCTGTCCAGTCTTAATTAGGATTTACTTAATGCTCTTTTTTTTTCTACATACAACGTGTGAAAGCACGTGGGATAACTGCCGTCGTCAACCGCAAAACAGGGGAGGTAACACAGCTTTTGTGACTAATGCGGTACTGCCACCCCTGGCGCCACCAGCATCATTAGCCATAAGACAGGGTATTGTTTTTGTATACGTGTCAGTCTCTTATGATTTCTTTTTACAACTGCAACTGAGTTTTCCAAAGCTGTGTTAAAATACACAACGCGCTCTTAGCGAATGTTATTTATAACGTAGAATGTAAGGTAAACAAATGTGTTGTACGTCGCAAGTAGCATTGTGTTGCGATCATGATTTTATTTAACGTTATTTGTTTTGGCTCTTGACCAGATCCAATTCAATGCCTGTTGAGCTGTGGTTTGGAGACGATGTGAAGCATGCCCACCTTCAAAAGGAAGAAAACGATTGACCGTCCAATGAATCCACGGCACCCGTCATCAGTAGGGTGGCACATGACATGTCCATCCCTTTTCCACGCAGTCGAATTGCAGCGATTCGTGGCGGTATTTCTTTCGCTCGTGCGCCTCTTCCCTGTTCTCCTCGCATGGAACGATTAATTCTCCCAGGAGAACACAATTCTTTGAATCAGACCACACTAAATGCCAAGGCGTGCGTCTATCTGAATGACGAGTACCGGAAATTAAAGGTGTTCTATGATGAATTAACACCTTCCAATCCATGGCTCTATTCAGTAATGTCATGCCGGAAGTTTAATGCATCTCTTGCACAAGGCATTCATTTTTGTTTTTAAAAAAGTTACAGGCTGTTTGTTGGCTGCTTCAACCTGTGTACTAAGTCTATGACCAGTTTTAGCACTTTGTTATGATGTCACATGTACATCTGCAGGGATCGTGGGCATGTAGAGACCACGTGACATAAAATGCTTCGGTCACTTTGACATAATGCGTATACAGTGTGGCCCAGAGCTTGGGGTTTGTCGTATTTGGCAGGTAGATCGTAGGTAGGTCACAGCGGGGAAAGATATTGCTATGGTTCCATTGCATTCAGGGTATTCTATGAGAGATCCATTGGATCAATACCACTCCATGTAGTCCAAGCACATTGTTTCGAACTGAGAAACATCAGTAGCTGTTAGCTTCTCTTTCTCGAAATTCTTAATTTCTTTAATCGCCATGTCTCGTTTACCCTTTGGACCTTGTTTAGAGAAAAACTGGTTTCTCGTGCTGCTCAGGCCAGCTTGATTGATTTGGGCCACCTCATAATCTTCTTGGTTCGCAGGCTGGATTCTGCTCTTCGTTGGCTTTTATTGTCGACCATTTGGATCCAGTTTTGATATCTGGCCGTTTTCTGTGGATGTACTTATCGGCCGAGTTCCTCATTATCTTGAACACCTGCAACTAATGAAGAGTTGGGAAGTTGCAGGATTCCGGCATTGTTATAGAGACGCACTGTGCAAATGCCAAGGGAACCCTAATCTACTTGAGTAGGTACTTGTTGATACACTGCTGTGTTTGCTGAATGCGAGGCACCCGCAACAGACACATAAGCCGAGTCATCAAACCATGTTGGTAGCTGTAAGCCATCAGTTTGCTGGAGAGAAGGGTTCTGTCGATGGATTCAAGTGCCTCTTAACCTCGGTGCCGATCAGTCAGTGGAATTTCATACAGCCATCTGAGGCTCCACTGGCTTCTCTTTGACAGTCAGGATCATGTCACCCTCAACGCAGAAGTAAATCTCCCTGGTAGATAAGGCTTATTCAAAGCTGCATGCGGAAATATCTGTTTTTTTTGACGAATTTTCATTTGATCTTTTTTTAAAATTTATTTTCTTATTATTTCCTTCACTTTCGCTCAAGCGAATCGGCGCTTTGAGCAGGAGATTTTAATCGACTTCCAAAGCTTATATTCTGACCAAGGGTTCTTAACTTTTTACTCGCTATTTTCAAGGTAACCTCCGATGCCCATTTGTAAAAATATAAATTAAAATAGTTTACTTTCATTACTTTTTAATATGATCCTTATGGTTGATGCGTTGCAGCTTGAAATTTAATATTTGGTTTAAAATTTGTAAATTTTAGTCTCATGACTTCTCGATTGCATATATCAATTTCATTCATTTCTTTGGCCAAGACTTTATTGATTGCACTGAATCCACATTCAACCAAATAAGAAGTTAGAAAGCATAGCAGTATTTTAGCCACTGTTTACATTATTCGGACTATTGCCCTCATTTTTGTAACCATATTTATTACAACGTTTCGGCCGTTCTACGCTCCGGCCTTCTTCAAGGACACCTGGCACAGTAGATAAAAGGGTTGGTTAGATCCAGTGAGAGGACCCAAAGAGTGTGAGTTCAATAACCTGTTAAGGCAG